TATACAGCCACTTGCTTGTCTGTTCAGAGTTGCCTTCCTGGCCACTCCATGTAAGGAGTGTCCTCGCCTCCTCCCAGGACTTCTCTGCCATTTTGCCTCGTTAGTTTTCTTCATGTCACTAATCACACTTAGAACATATATGGTCTATCCATTCCTCCAGGAGGGCACACGTGATGAGGACAGCTGTTGGGTGTCTCATAATTCTGTGTTCCAGGAACCTGGCGTAAGGCCTGACGTATGATAGTTGAGGCCCTTAGTCCCTAAGCCACAGTATCTAGGGCAGTGGATTATATCTTGCATGAAGGTGACGTAGACAGCAGAGGCAGCACCTGTCTACACCTTACCCACGTTCCTTCAACCCTATGTCCCTTGGAGGACATGCGTTTACTGTCCTTTCCCAGGTCAAGTCTGGCTTCTCATCCTTTACTTTTGACTCAAGTGGCATCTTATCGTCACCTTCCTACCTCTCACCACCCCTCCCACCCACTACCCAGTTTATTTGGCTCATCGTACTTATCATCTCCAAACTTATGTTGTTGTCTTTTTAACCTCTTCACATTAGAAAGTAAACAATGTTCTTGAGAAGGCTATCACTGCTGCAAAATTTCCAGAACATTTCCCAACAGACAGATACTCACAAATACTTACTTATTCATCGAGCCAACTCTGGCCAATTGTGTGTCTCTTCTTGGTTCTAATCATTTGGCCATTCAAATAGTTTATTTGTTCGTGCATGTTTGAGACAGGGTCTCAGGTAGCCCCAGGCTGGATTCAGACCTGCTGTGTAGCTGAGTCTAGCTCTGAACTCCTGATCCTCCTGCCTCAGCCTTCCAGATGCTGGGATTACAGGCATATTACTGTTACCTAGCAAGTCTAATAGTTTTTAAGTGGATTTCTTTGTTTTTTTCTAAGCTCCTAATTTGCATGTCTAATCAATTTTCTCTTCTGAGAATTATAACTTTTGCTTTTCTTTTTACTATAGTAACAGAACCACAACAGTATGAGGCTATACACATACTAGTATATCTCTTTAACATATCTTTAGTATATCTTTAATTAATCACTATTAGTTATGACATTGCTAATAACTGAAACAAACTAACTCTATATCATGCAAAGTAAAAGCTTTATAATCCCACTTTACTAAGGTCTTACTAGGGTTAGTTGTTTGGTTGATTGGTTAGTTAATTGGTTGATTAGTTGATTGGTTGGTTAGTAGTTGGTTGGTTGATTGGATGGTTGATTGACTGGTTACTTGGTTGGTTGATTGGTTGGTTGGTTGGTTGGTTGATTAATTAGTTGGCTGATGGATTTTTGTTTGATTGGTTGGTTGGGTTCTGTTTTGTTTTGCTTTGTGCTGTTTTTGGACAAAATATTGCTGTGTAGCTCAGGTTGACATCAAATTCATGACCCTTCTCCCTAATCTCCCAAGTGCTGAGGCTACAGGCATATACCACCACACTTAGTACTAATTTAGAGTAAGGTAGGTTAGTTTTAGCCATAAACCCTCTTGAATTTCACAAGGAGGATTTGATCACAGACTTTTCTTACTCTGATTTCCTGACAGGGTAAATTCTGGGATTTTGTTAATATTTAAACATAATTATGGGGGAAGAAGAGAAAACAAGGGCTCACATAGACCAGGCTGTCCTTGAACTCTGGCTCTTTTAGTGCCTTGTGAGAGTGCTAGAATTATGGGCTAGAATTATAGGCATTACCTCCACAAGGGTGAAATGGCCTTGTATTTCTGGAATAAACTAGCCATTGAAGTACTTCTGCCTTCCTTTGTTTTCTGGTTCTTTTGAACCTTCTGCACATCTGTGGTCACCGGGATGATAGTGACACATTTGTTGGGTTTATGTCTGTTTACTGAGCTGATTTTTTTCAGGTTCTGCTATCAAGGTAACAGTGCTCTCCCAGAATATGTGGAAATATAATGTTTATTTTCTAGGTCTTTGCATAAATCCCAAGGCCCATTGTCTCCCTCCTTTGTCTTTTGAGAAGAGTAAGAACCATGAATGATGACAGGTTGAACACTGGACCACACAGAAACGCATGTGCTGCTCAGCCCTGGGTTCTGTCAGGTTTCTAGTGTTTTGATTTTAGGGAAGGATCCCAGGTAGGATTTTTTTTAGATTTAAATACCAGATTATCAAACTGGCTTGAGTGAGCGAGAAACTCTTATCTTCTTACTTCATCTAGTGCTGTGGGTTCCCAGATGACATACTTATGCCATCTGTCACATCAGACCTCAGTGACTTCCTTAAATGCCCCAGACATTCTTACGCATCCCTCATTGAAGTTCATATTACTCAGAGGTCCAAGATACTGCATTGTCCTGGGGAAGTCTATGCAGTCATGCAAGGGACATTATGCATTATGGAACACTTTCATATAATGCCATTTCTAAAAAAATCTAAACATAAAACCATCGTGTGAATAATAAATAAACATTAAATAACCAAGAAACGTTTTGTTCCTTTATGCATTCTTACATTTATACATGATGGACATTATTATGGGGAATAAACACCCCTTCGTTTTTCTGAGGGGACTCCCATGAATGGAATCTCACTGAACCTCTCTGCCTGACCGGTACTTGTCCCTTTCCAGGGTAGGAGGAGGAGTAAGTTATCTGACTGGGGTGGTAAGAATGTGCATTCTTTCCTGTATGCTTTTCATGGGGAGATGCTCCTCCATTAGAAAGCTGGGAGCACTTGGTAGCTATTATCTCTGCCACACAGCATCTCCAATGATGTCTGCTCCCAGCGCAAGCCTCGCTCGGGTCTTCTTCCTCGAGGCGGGTTGGGAAGAGTTGACAGGAAAAGCCCCCACCCTGCAGAACTGCACCACATGCTTACATTAAGCTCCACCGAGAACAGTAAGCCCGAGCGCTGCATCTCCATCTGTGACAGTGACTCTTCACGGCCATCTTGTCAGGATCTAGCACCACAGAAGAAACAATAAGTGGGTGACTCTGTGAGGACATTTCCAGAGGGTTTGACTGAGAGAAGATCCCACTCTAACCGTGGTCTTCCATGCCGTACAGGCCTGGAGTCTCAGAATGATTAAAAATGAGAAAGCAAGCGGCGTGCACCAGCATGCATTGCTCAGGGCTTCCTGACCGTGGGTGCAATGTGCCCAGCTGCCGCAGGCTCCGATAGCCACAGCTAGTGACACCCACCGCTGCACATCTTCCCTGCTGCCACAGGCCTCACACTCTGAGCCAAAATGAGCCCTTCCTTCCAGAGTTACTTTTCTCAGGCATTAAGTTATAGCTGCAAGAAAAGTAACTGATACATCTTCTGTATCATTCCTGTGTTATGGTTTCCAGTTTTTTTCTCAGCCCAACAAATACTGCTGCTTTGACAGTCAGGGATTCAAGCTCTGTACATTGTAGGCATCTCTGTGTCCAAAGAACATTATTCATAGATGCCATTTATTAAATACAAGCTACGTGTTATCTCTGCTAGTTGCTTTGTGTCACCATTGAATTCTTACAGTAATCCTGTATGACTGGTTCTGTCATGATCTTCATTTTATAAGTTAAAAACAAGAGTAAATGTTTAGAGAGTTTTGAGGTCTGTGTTTTTCACGGAATCGTGACTCTGTAACTGTGGATGCAGGACTGAGCCTTGGGGCGGGGGGAGGGGGAGACTAAGACAGGAGTTTCTATCTAGATTTGTAAAGCCAGTTACCAAACAGAACGGTGAAAACTGAAGCGAACGATTACACAAACTCTGTTCACGCAGCCTTCTATCTCCTCATTACTAATAAAGGCCCGACACAGATGTCTTATTTTCAGGCTGACATGTATTTGCTTGTTATGCTGAGCGCTGCCACCAAGCGCACCCCGTAATCTGCTGGAAGAGATTGTGCAGGGAGACGGGCCAAAGTAGATAAGGAAGATAGTACGGTGAAGAAAAGTCTCCCTGGCCCCCAGTGTTACTTCACAGTGGCCCACCAGGGTCAGAGGGACTTGCAGTGGCAAAAGTTGAGACATTCCATGAAGTGATGTGATCTGCTTTTCTCTTGGCTGAGTGGTTGTCAAGAACCCTTCTGTTGGGATTTGGTTGACAACCTGGAACAGACAGACCATGGGAGGTTCCCAAAGATTGTTTGTTCTTCTATCCAGCTGTTAGTATTAAAATCCAAACTGATGAGTATCTCTTTAGCTGAAAGGCTAGAAAGGAGGTTGCCAAGGTTGCCAGATGCTAAGATTGCACACAGCTGGTTGAGTAAGAGCCAGCTTTCCTTTAAAGCCCTGTGGCTTTAAATCCCAATGAAGCCATTCTAAGCAACCCGTGTGGTTTGCAGGGCAGCTCACTGCCCGCCCCCTCCACCAAAGTTCTCGATATAAAATGCCAGAATAAAACTTTCCCAATAGTATGCCCTATGGAGCCATAGTGAAGGACGAAACATAACTCGATGCCAATGATGGAGCTGGTCATGAAGTTCTAAACTCAGTCTTATTCCCTGCACACCCTTTACTAAATCCATCCTGTTTGCTCTCTAGGTTTTGGCTATCACATTTAAATAAATGACTTCTCTATCCCTTCTTCAAGGTATCCAGTCCTTGCTGAGCACTGATTTCCCCATGAATGAATTATAGGTACTTCAAACTCCATATATGTCTTTCTTCTTCTACCTATTCTTCCTTGTCTCTGGCCATCAAAGCCATCTTCCGAAAGCTCAGTTCCAACTGTGTCATCATCTCCCTCAAAACCTGTGCTGGCTCTGCACTGCTCATATAGTACAGAGTATATTCCTTAGGACAACATTCGCAGCAGATCTTAGCCTTATTTATTCTTCCTGTGCTCTGTAGCCCAGTGCCCCTAAACCTTTTTACTGCTGTTCCTCCTGAAATCTTTTTAAAACTAATCACCCCTCATGAAATGCTAATATTATAGATATATTTATCTACCTATGTGTTGTGTGTATATCTTTGCCTTATACATAAAAAGGTAAGTTTTTCCTCCTATTGAAAATGTATGCTCTAGCTCTCTTGTGTCCCGGCAGAGGCCCAGGCGGCCAGCACGAGCAGTGGGGACCATGTTCCGACTCAAACTCACGGCCCTGGACTACCACAACCCTGCAGGCTTCAACTGCAAAGATGAAACAGAATTTAGAAACTTTATTGTTTGACTTGAAGACCAGAAAATTAGACACTACAAGATTGAAGACAGAGATAACCTGAGAAATATCCACAGCATATTCTCAAGTTCTTCGAAAAGTATCTAAGAGATGTTAACTGTCCTTTCAAGATTCAGGAGCGCCATTGACTATGACACTGGGACCTGTTTCCTCTGCATATGCTGGTTTTTGGGGATCCAGTCTGTTTGGATGCTCGCCTTCCTGGACCTGGAGGGAGGGGGGAGGGAGCTGGAGCTTCCCACAGGGCAGGAAACCCTGACTGCCCTGGGGGACGGAGGGGAAGGAGGGGGGGAGTGGGGGGAGTGGGAGGGTGATGGGAGGGGGGGCGGAAATGGAAACTTTTATAATTTAATAAAATTTACTAAAAAAAAAAAAAAGATTCAGGAGCAACAGGAAGCAATTGACTGGCTTCTTGGTTTAGCTGTTAGACTTGAATATGGAGATAATACTGAAAAATACAAGGACTTAGTACCCGATAACAGGAAAAGTAATGACAACACAGCCAAAAATGCAGAGCCATTGATCAACCTGGATGTAAATAATCCTGATTTTAAGGCTGGTGTCATGGCTCTGGCTAACCTCCTTCAGATTCAGCGTCATGATGATTACTTGGTAATGCTTAAGGCAATTTGCATTTTGGTTCAGGAGCGTCTAACACAGGATGCAGTTGCTAAAGCCAATCAAACGAAAGAGGGCTTACCTGTTGCTTTAGACAAACATATTCTTGGCTTTGACACAGGAGATGCAGTTCTGAACGAAGCTGCTCAGATCTTGCGATTGCTGCACATAGAAGAGCTCAGAGAACTACAGACGAAAATTAATGAAGCCATAGTAGCTGTTCAGGCAATCATTGCTGACCCAAAGACGGACCACAGACTGGGGAAAGTCGGAAGATGAGCACATCAGGATTTCAGCTTCTCGCCTGCCTAGTGTGAGGGGAACCATGTGCATAGGCATGTGTTTGGAAATCAAATGTCACATTTTCGAGGGAGGAATCCCAGGAAATTGGCCGTGTTCTAGAGATTTACCACCATTGCTTTTTTTTTTCTTTAATAAAGTTGGGGAAAGTATGCTCTAGGCTGAGTGTAGAGGTACATGCCTATGAACCCAGCCCTTGGAACATGGAGCAGCAGTAACAGCAGATATTCAGGGCCATGCTTGGCTACATACCTCAGCTACAGGGATTGTGAGACCAGCCTGGGCTACGTGAAACCTTGTTTCAAAAATGAAAGAAAATGTATGTTTTAGCCAAAGCAGATCAAGTACTTACTAGTTCTCGTATACACTACTGTACTTTTTAGCTTCAAAGTTTGTGCTCATAGTGGCCATTGATCAGAGGAACCGAGAGAACCTGGGAAGATCCCGAGAGTGCATTTCTGTGATCTAACCCACTGCCGTTCTCCTTGCCTAGAATAGAGTCGTATGTCTTCTCCCACCTCCGTCCGTTTTCTCCTTCAAACCTTACTCTTCCTGGTTCAGCCCAAACACCACATCCTCTGCACTGACCCATTTAGCTAAAACTAATTTCTTTTGTATGCTCAGTGGTACTTTAATACTTCAACTGTTTTTAATAAATGTATAGATACATGCACGTAAGCGCAGGTGCCCAAGGATATCAGGGGCATCAGATCCCCCTGGCACTGGAATTACAGGTGGTTGTGAGCTGTCCAATGTGGATGCGTAGAGCTTGATCCAGGTGCTCTGCAAGAACAGCAAATGCTTTAACCTCTAAACTAGCTTTCAAGCCCAAGAGATTCTTTTTATTAAGTAATTATATCTCTATTCATGCTAAGTTCCTCACGGGATTATGAGGAAAGGACTATGTTGTTTAGTGTGTAAACAGTAACTTCATGAAACAGGATCCAGAATAGTTTAACTGCAATTAGTTCACTGATTAAAAAAAAAAGTTGGGGGTGGGGGGCACAACTATCCACATTAGAAAATCGGTATGTATACCTAATAAATAAATAAAGAAACATGCAAGAATAATTGAACAGTATGTGACAGATTTCAAAACCACCATCATTAACATAGGGGTGATTTATGAAAGAACTCTGTGTTGTACAATATGGATGTGTAGAGTGGATCCCCACTTCATGCAGATAATAGACACCCACAAAAAGTCATCTCAAGGGGTAGTTGTCCCAACATGCCATCAGTGATAATCAAAATAAGCCAAGGGGCCAGAGGCAAAACCAGCCATTTTTTTTTTTACTTCATGGCTTTGTTTGTTTTTCTTTTACGGGGGTTTATTATCGTGAAAAGATGGTGTGTGTGGACAGACCTTGTAAATGTTGAAAACCATCACCATCACATCAGAAAGGACTAAATTAAGGGTGTTGGAACAAACATGTCCATTGGACAAAATTGTTTTCATGTTAAGAAACATGTTTTCTGGAAAGGCATTTATAATAATAAAAAAGCACACGGATGCTCATCTTAGGAAATATCTGACTTTATTTCATCACAGAATAATTGTCTTTCTAGGAAAAGCAACTTCTATGGTTGCACAGGATTGCGATGTGCTCCAGACACAGGTGCTTTCTAACACCCTTGGCCTCGGGGCTGCCTTCTAGAATAATCTAAGCGGGGTTTTTCATTTGTTAGCTTACCAAAGTCTGAGCGTGACTTTCTCTGAGACAGTGGGAGTGTGTTTGTGAGGGCAGTAGCAAGAATCCGCTTCTACGGGTAACCTGGTGCCGGTCCTTCTATGAGTCCCTCTGAGACAAATGGTCCTGGAGGAAGTTTAGCCTTCCCTAGTCTTTCAAACAGGGTAACCCTGCTGCTAACCCTCAAACTTTTTTTAGGCAGGGAAAGACAGGATTAGTTATGAGTCGTTTTCCTTCTGTCTTTCTACTAGCCGAGCTCACTTTCTTCCAGCCAACAGCAACAGTCAAGCAAATATTTTGGGGCTAACACTTAAGGATAAGCCTCACTTAGAGACAGAATTATGTAGGCTTGTTTGCTTAACAAGTTACATAGAGGGTGGGAGGAAGGGGGAGGGAGGAGACGCGACAAGGCCCGGCCCCCCAGATGCGATTGGCTCCCTCTCCCCATTTAGTCACTCGGTTCGCATCTCGGTTGGACAGGTTGAGAGAAACATGTCATTAAGGTGTTGTCAAAAGGAGCCCTGTATGTGTGGGCCGGTCCCTAGGTTTGTGGTTTTAGCTTTTCAAAGGCGCGGAGCTATTATGGGCTATGGGATCAAGTTCGGGAAACCTAGTCTTCTTTATCTTGAAAAATGGCTTTGTAACAGGAGGCGCCAAGGAGCTTAAGTACACATAACTCGCACACGGGAGAGAAAATGACGAAAGTTCCTCAGGGGTTTGATTTCAGTTTCCTAAACGAGGAAGAAGCCAGGAAGATCCTCCAGGTCCTGGAAAGAAATGAGGAACTCCGAAGGGCAGAGAAGGACAGGATCAGGTAGGAAGCGCACTCCTCCTGTGTGTCGGGAGGGGGGCGCGGGGCGGGGGGGGGGGGTGGCTGGGCCTGCATCTCGGGGGTCTGGGAATCCAGGGAACCGCTCTGCTCTCCCGGGCACCTGCTGGCACCCTGCGTAGTTGCTGCTACCGAGTGGGAAGACGGAACCTGTGTGGTTTTCCTTCTGTGGGTCTCCAGATGCCTTCCGGGTGCTCTCTCCAGGCTCTCCATCCCCAGTAGGGTTGGCTGTGAGTCTCCGCGGGGAGGAGGGAGAATGTAGCTACTTCTTCACATTTTCTATGCCTAGGTCCCCACCTGTTCAGGACACCTGGGCGGACCTCGGCTGAGGGAGGTTCAGACATCTCAGGGGTTCAGGTGCCTCACAAGTCACTAGGGAAAGGCTCTGACCGTTTGGGGCACGTGAATTATTGCGGGGCATTCCCGAGAGCTGGATCTTGGCAGCTGCTCCCTCCAAGCCGGAGGCCCAGGGCGGGAGATCCAGGAACTTGTCAGAGTCCTGTGTGGGTGAATGGGACTTAGACACGTGGGGTTGGCTGCGGTGTGGTGATGTAAGAAGGAGTTTCTGCGGGATTTAACCAATGACTTTATTATTAAATACAGTGTTATAGGTAAGGGAGGGGTAAGTTACTAGCAAATTAAATTCAGAAGTGTTTAACTGGGGGTATAAATCAGCCTTCTCCCAATCCCTGCTAGGGTAGGGACCCACAGACCTGCCTAAGTCTTCTGCAGTGAACTGTGGGTAGAAATTCAAGATGTCCCTCAGGCTGCAATGTAAGGCATAAGCTGGAGTTTAGAAAGCTGGTGAATTCATCAGGTTCCCAGTTCCCCCCAGCCCCTCCCACGCCCACCCTTCTCTCTCCATTACCTCAAAAGAAACCCCTTCAAGAACAGTCTTCAAATTGGGAGATGTTTTTACTCTTTGTGGAGATGGAAAACATTGTGCCCGAAGCTCCATCTTCACCCTCCTCTCCTACAGGACCTCTCTGGGGGACAAGAGGGAGAGCTGCGGAGGGAGGGGAGGTCACACATTTGAAGTTTCAGAATGGAGATCTAACCACACTCTGCTTCTGAAAATCAGACTCCATCCCCTCCAGCTGTGTAAAAAGTCTTCCTTCTGAAAACAGTGTATCCACACCCATATTGGCCATACAGGTATCACCCCACTCACAGATGGACATTAGACCTGCATAGGAATGGCTTGAGAGCATACACAATCCCCAGGTTCCCAAACTGTAGTTCTCAATGTGTTATTGGGAATGTTCTTTGTCTCTTAAGAGAAGGTGGCCATTATGTATGAGGGGAAAGCAAGGGCAGAATTAGGAAATGGTGAGAGGGAGGAGAGCTTGCATTTAGGCATCAGCTTGGTCCTTTGTAAATTATAGTCTTGGGAGTCGCAGTGGCAGGACTCATACAAACCGGTAGTCTTAGAAATAGTGATGTAACTTAGTTTAAATTCCATTCAAGGGAATTTATTTTGTACTGTATTAGAGTTATGTAAAACATGACACCTGAAGGGAAATGGAGGAAGGGTGTGTAGGGCGTCTTTGTACTAATTTATTACTGCTATGTTTATATTGTATGGGTGTGGTACATGTGTATGAAGTGAGTGCACATATGTATGTATCTGCATGGTCCTGGAAGCCAGAGGAAGATGTCTAGTGTCCTGCTTTACCCTTCTCTGTCTTATTTCTTTGAAATGGGGTCTCTCACTGAACCTTGAGGTAGGCTGACTGGTGGCTAGCAATCCCCATCAACGCTCCTGTCTCTGTCCCTCACATCTCTGGGGTTACAACCCTCACATCTCCAGGGTTACGACCCTCACATCTCCGGGGTTACAACCCCCACATCTCTGGGGTTACAACCCTCACATCTCCGGGGTTACAACCCTCACATCTCCGGGGTTACAACACTCACATCTCCACGGTCACAGCCCTCACATCTCCACGGTCACAGCCCGCACATCTCTGGAGTTACAACCCCCACATCTCTGGAGTTACAACCCCCACATCTCTGGAGTTACAACCCTCACATCTCCGCAGTCACAACCCTCACATCTCCGGGGTTACAACGCTCATATCTCTGGGGTTACAAGCATCTGCCACACTTGGATTTTTAGATCCGCTAGTGCTGACTCAAGTCTTAGGCTTGCACCGCAAGAGTCCTTATCCCTCAGCCATCCCTCCTGCTCCTTTAAAGTAGCTTCAGAGTTGCCCCAGCCCTTACCTTGTGCTTTCTCTACTGCCACTCGGGTTGCCCACATCAGTTGCCTCTGGGGGAAATGGGTCTTTGCATAGGTGCTGAATGCTGGAAGGTTAGCTGTTGGGGGGAAGGCTGCAACACATCTTCTGATCTCATGATGCTCAGGTCGTAAATGAAGCACCAATGGAGAGAGCTACAATGCTAGTACAAACATCAAACTTAGAACTATTGTTTAAACTACTAAAATGATCAACCAAACAGTGTGAAACGTCACCACTGCTGACACACAAACACCCTTGAAGGAAAGTAGATGGTTGTACCAAGTGTCCAAAGCAATGCCTTCTGGCACCTTTTCTCCTGCTTCCTTCCTGGCTCCCACTCTTGAATACTCATATCTCCATGGGATTATCTACCCTCTTCCAGCCCATGT